CTCTGTTATGCCAGCTCTGAATCATGGTACTGATTTCATGTCCTTGGTGTCTGGCCCAGTTTCTGTTCTCGGTTACACCAGGAAATCTTTGGAATAATTCCTTTGGAGCCAGGAAGGTTACTGTGGATTAATGCCAAAGGCAGCAAACTATGGCTTGTGATCTTTGACAGAGAAAACATATACATAACATCGAACTACGCTGCCACTCTTCTTTGTAAAGTGGATCATTCTGGATCTTTGTCTCACTTTGAAAGGGCCCAGGATACCCATCAAGGGAGCTAAAAGCCACCCTTTCACATAATCATCTTTCCTCTCAAAAGCTTTCCCAATAAGAAGCTTCAAGGACTAAATTGCATTAATTTGAATGAACAGTAAATAGGGCCTGAGATTTCCAGAAGCTCTTCAGCACCCGTAATAACTGCTGAAGACAATGGGAGTTGCAGATGATCAGCAAAAATTGGTTAAAGGGTTTAACAGAATTGCTCTTTTACAGTGCTCTAGCCCCAGACCCACAAACACTTCTCCCCTGCTGCCTTTTGGCAGTCACAGATTTAAAAAAAAAATAAAAATAAAAATAAAAGCTACGGCTTGCATGCAACCCCCCAAATCACCCAATAGCTATAGTTTATTAGTACAGCTCCATTGACTCCCATGCACGGGGAATTTTAAGGGCAAACTCCTACACTGGCATCTGCAACACAGATCTCATCGTCTCTCTGCATAAGCTTCACCCTCTGCGGATTTCTAACCCTTGCTCTTGCTCTCCACACCAAATTCCTCTTGGTACAGGCAGCAGTTCTAAGCGGAGACAAAAGGAATTTTTGAAGTACCAAGAGGCAAGAGATCCAAAAGCAATACTTTGCCTAAAATTCCCAGCATCATGACTACATAATTTTTACCTGATTTATGTTTTTCAATTGCAGCATGACCACAGGATACAGATGCAGTATAACTCACAGCCCTCTACACATTTTCCTCTAGTGTGTGTTCCTTTTTCTTTTTTTTGATTTTTTTTTTTTAATCAAGGAAATAACAAACTTGATCTCATGCTCAGAAACTTGAAAACTTTAAGAAAAACTGTTCTCCCAGAGCACTCATCCTGCCAAAGAGATTGCCAAAGGGGTCCCGTGTGTCTCAGGAAAGAAAGGCAGTGGGGGAACGTGAACGTGTATCAAAAGTCTGTGTTCGCTGGAGTTTGGATCTCTCTGGAGCTCGTGGCTATTCTTTTTGAATGAAATCATCTGCTGCTGAAAGGCTTAATATCACTACTGAATGAAGTTTTCTACCTGGACAGACTTATTAACTTTTCTTCTGGGAAATAGGAGGAGAAAAACCAACACGGAGGCCTTGCGAAGGAGAAAGCCACGGAGCGGGATGGACTCACAAAGACATCCCCATCCACCCTGCAAAGCTCCTGTCCCCAGAGGCCACTCGGGCCAATGCGTTGCTCTTGCTTGGCCAGAGCACACAGAGGCAAGCAGAGATGGAGGGAGAGTCCTCAATGAGGCACCCGAGACCTCGCTCTGAGCTCACTCTTGGCATTGGAAGTTGTCTTTCTTCCTTGCTTTGTCTTTCTTCCTCTCAGTCCCTACCGTTTGCCAAGGGTAGGTGTTCAATGGATGAATCATCAGGCCAAGTCTCCACTGGCACCTAGACCTACTTCTACTTCATCCCACTGCAAGACCTGCTCTGAGGTGAGTGAAATCATTTTGGACCCAGCAAACTGGTGTCCCTCCCATCCTCTGACAACCAAAGGTGCAAGATCACCAGAGCTGGCCAGATGACAATTCTTTCTATTAGGATGGACTTTCTCTCATGTAATTTTAGCTGTTTAAAAGGCAGGCATCTGCTCTAAGTCAGTCATTCAGACTCTGCAGGTGAGACAGGCAGAGGGAGGGCTCCTCACCCACCCTGCCATCCACGGGGTGAGCTCTCAAAGGAAAGCATCTTTGCTCTCTGAAAGTGCCTATGACTCTCTGCTTCACGCAGAGGGAGCCTAGACAGCAGCCCAGCCTGGGGACGCTGCTTTTAGGCGGCATCTTCAACCACCACGCGCCTACTCCCACCTGATCCGAGCCCCACGCAACACATTAGGACCTGCAGGTTTAGTGCTGGAAGCACATCTCCACCAGGGCTCAGGCCTCCAAGGCTGCTCCAAGGCGCGCGAGCATAGAGGGTGAACAGAAGGACATGTTTGGCCATAGCTGGGGCCAGCTTTCCCCAAAAACGGGATGCCAGAAGCCAGCTCACGCACCCGGTTGGATCAGCGCTGCGTCTCAGCCTTGGCTGCTGGGGTTTGCTTCTCCCAGGGCTGCTTTCAGCTAGGAGATGCCCATCTGCAATAGCCTTATGCAGGGAATTAAGAAACATTTGAATTTTAAATAAAGAAAACATAGAGGTGCCAAGGCTTTCCTCAGCATGAAAAATTCATTCCCTCCATGGCTACACCAGTTAATGAGATGATCAGTGACCTGATGAATGTCAGGTCACCAGCTTCCAGTACAAAAGGCTGTGCGCTGTTTTAAAAAAGTGTGGTTTTTCCAGCTACTTTTTTTCTACAATGAAGGAATAGCACTAAAAATATGTCCCACCACATTCTCCAGAAGCATCAATAGACATCGCTCCCCTAAAGCCAAGATAGACTTACTTATACCTGCCAGCTGGGGAGCGGGTCCATCACTGGGGAACAACTTCACTACATGTGCACACACACACATACATACATTTATATATTAAAATATATTTTTATATATATTTAATTATATTTTAATATATATTTATATGTTAAACCTATATAAACCCACAAAGGTAGGTCATACTTCTCTAACATACTCAATCCTGAATGGCTCTGTATCTTATATATGCAATTTATCTTTTATATATACACAATTTATTTTATATATGTTTTCATATAGTTATATACATAATTTTGTATATATTCAGATATATATTAAAAAACCCACAAAGGTGGGTGCATATTTGCCTAATATTTTCAACCTTGAATGGGTCTTTATTTTACTATAATAATCTTATCCTGCTCTCCCTTAAAAAAAGGATATCTTTGTAAAGGTACACGGTCATTTCTATGCTATCAGTACAGCGGATAAGTTATTAAGGAAGTGAGCATCAGAAATTATCCTGTAAAGCTGACGTTGTGGATTTTAACCCTTTCGACCCTACCAAGTGTCTGAGCGGGTGTATTTATATATTCCAAGTGTTTCTGTTCACTGTATCATCGACTACGACCGCAGGACCACATAAAAATGCCAAGCAATTTTTAGCACAAGCTCAGCATGGCTAGATGCCATGCTCTTCATATGGCATGAAGCCCTTCTAATAGTCCTCACTGTTTTACCTCCTCCCTCCCGCTCCAAAAAAACCCACGATGAATGTAAACCTTCAAATCTTTCCATTGACCGTAATGAAAGGGTAGTTTAGCACCAAAAATGTGCGGAGGACATCGTTACTCAAGTTCCAGTAGAGGCTGGGAGGCTGGCACGGGAAGGAGGGGGGAAAAAGCTATTTCAAGTGGTAGTGCACCCATAAATAAATAAATATTGACATATTATGCCAGGATCTGTGCTGTCGTTGGAAAGGGCAGGCAAGGAACACAGGGCACATTCAGAAGACCACAGAGATGATTTAGATTGAGTAAGTGTTATATATACATTTATATATACATATATTGGCTTTTCTGGGTCTGAGCCTGAAAATGTTTGTACACAGGAGTACATTTGCCCGTTTGAGTAGGGTTACGGATGTAAGCGCTCGCAGGATTACAGGCATTATTTGTTGCCCGCTGGCGCGATTTGCACGTCTACGGAGAGCCACGCTCAGGTCACCAACTATGGCAACCAGAAGAGATTCCTGCATCTGCACTCCAGCCTGCAGCGACCACCTACAGCTGGCTCCCGGGCGGGCGGCAGAGAGAGCCCTCCCAGCAGAAGGTCACAACACAGGTCCCTACAGCCCCCCACGGAGAGCCAGCTCTGCTGGTCCCAGAGAACAAGGGATCTGAGTCACTCCTGCCCTCCTGGATGGAAAATGCTATATTGAGCATCTACATCTGTCTTAGGTATAATCATGGGTATGGCAGGGTTCCTGCAAAACATTTGCACCAGGAAGCAACTTGACACATAGACGAAGTTGCAAGTGAAGTGAAAGGCATGAAGTTAATTACCGGCAGGACCTGACATTTAGAAAAGGACTTTAAACAGGATTTTTAAACAGGATTTTGGCTTGATTTTCAGCTTAAGTACTTACATCCAAAACTGAGATTCAAAAAGACCTCTTCAGCCACCTGGCCCTGGAGATCCCAACATTTTCTAATACCTTCCTTCTTCAACCTGAAGCCACCACATCTATGCTGCTGCTGCTCTGCACATCCAGAACCGACCAGGCAAACACTCCCCTCCTGCCAAATACCCTCCGAAAGCCAGAAACCAGCACAACACAGGTCTCCACACCAAGATCTCCAGAGGCTTCTGGAGCATCCTTAACAAACCTGCTCCCAGAACACCACTGTGAGCTTTGTTTTTTTAAGCACTGCCACCTGGGGAGAAAAACACCCAACAGCTCTTCTTCAGTAGCCTGATGACCAGAGCTTCTCAGAACTAGTCCAAGTCTCTTGTTGCTTGGAACAGGTTTAAGCCCACATGCAGCCACAGAGATATCTATTTAGCACAAAGACAGAGGTTGTTGTGGATGGGGACATGTCAGAAAGAAATACGAGGTCCCTGCGGCCAAGAGGACAACCCACAAGTGAGATCCTGCCTCTGTAACCCAGTAGTTAAGGCATTCACCTCGGAATGGGAAGTCCTGGATTTTGGCCCCACGTCCTGATGATATTTCAACAGCTTGACGTAAAATGCACAAGCAGATGCCAAAGAAGGCACTGCCACTAAGTCCCAGCTTAGCTCAAGCCACAAGTAACATGCAAAGCGAAGCTCAGACGGCTCTCACGGTCCTGAGTGGGTCCCCGCAGCAGAGGCAGGCCTTACCTCTGCATCCTGGACATCCTGTGGAGCTCCATGTCGTCGCTGCCGCGGAAACCTTTCGCAAAGGGGTTGTTCTCAATCTTTAACTGGGTGATCTGAAAGGGAGGAAATGCAATGGGTTCATCGCAAGTCCAAGGCATGGCCTGGGAGAGAGGGGATATTGTTTATTAAACCCAAGCCAACAGGGATGTGGGGGAAAACATAGCTTTCAGGAACTCAAGTCATCCTTCAGCTCAGGCATTGACCACTCCAGATGGACCTTCCTCTAGATCTCTCCACTGGAAAAATATCTCCTGTCAACAACCTCTCGCCTCTCTCAGGCTTGTCCCATAACTAACACGTGGGACTGCACACAAACACAAATTTCTCTCTGGAGGAACTCTGCTTTCTTAAAGTTACTTACTTTCTTTTTGCTGTCAGGACAGAAAGGGCTGCACTGACCAGAGGACCAGGGACAAAAGTCATGTTACCTGAACAATACCCACCAACACTAACAAGTATTTTCTCATCAATGTGTAGCCATGACTGAAACCTTACCTCTCAGACCCTGGATCCTCTCACTCAGACTAGTAAAGCTCACCCTTTCTGCATTTCAGACCATCTAAAGGCGCTCCAGGTGCTCTGTATCTGACATCCTTCCCCAACCAGCCCCACACCTGTAAGCACTGCATGGCCTAACTACCTAAGGTACTTGGAGGGCAACTCCACCTCTGGCCATCGTGCCCCAGAGGAACATTTGTCTCCCCATTAATTCTAGAAGGAATTAAGAAGGAGTAGTTTGCTCACTTAGTTGGCTAGCTTCAGCATCTAAAGTTTGCTGGGATGAATCCCCCTCGGACTCCTAATTTTGGTCCTCTTACAACATCTAAGTTAAACATCTAAAGCAGCTGCCGTACAGAACATACCCTTATCCAAAGCAACTGTGTTGCTCAAAGAGGCGCAATCCTCTCCTTCGCGTACTTCTCCTGAGGGCTTACGTGAGTAGGTTTTTCTCAAGCCAGAGGTGGTCATTTAAGCAAATATTAACTGTGGACCAACAACACCCTCAAATGTTCTGCTGGTCTTGTACAAACTCACTCTGCCATGCCAAATTTGATGCAAATGCTTTGGTGTCTTTGCAGAGCAGGACTGAGTCTGGATCAGGTGTGCTCTAGCTGCAATGCCCTAATATTCAGGCAGAAGAGGCAACAGTTCCCCTCCTTCTCTTTCTCCATCACTGCCTGGCAGTCCGAGCCCTCAGCCAGGAGTCAGGAGAGCCACTTGCACCTGCCCAGGAGCAGAGACAACCTGCGTTTGCCATTGGAGAAACTTCATGCGCTCACCGCATTTTATGGAAACGCTGTCCTTCCTTCCCGTTGAACGCTGGCCAACGGGAAGGAAAGAGCTCGAGATTAACGGCGGGAGAGCAGAGAGAGGTTCGTGTTCACCCAGTCAAGCACATGCAACTGAACCCACCTCTTTGCCAAAATTCAAAGAGAAAAATCTGGCTGAGCTAGTGTCAATAGCAAACCCCGCCAGGTGTCTGCACAACCAGATTATTTTGCTGTTTTCTCGTCTTATAGCATATTTTTTTCCAAAGACCATTTGTTTATTTGTCATTTTTGCCTAATTCAGCCCCAAATCTCACACAAAGACCCCATCACCCCTACACTTGTCCCCATGGGCATTCCCATTAAATAAGGACCTAATTTAGTCCATAAACAGGGCGGTGCCCTTTTTTTGTCACGCATTTCAGATTTCAAAGAGAAGGGTGAACAAACAATCTATTTGGTCCAATTTGCCATTTCAGACATTCTCTAGCAGTAAAGCAGCGGCATGTTTTATAATTAAAAGCCCTGAATAATTAGACAACCAGCTGTGTATTTTGCAAAGAAACTGCCTATCGGTTTCCACTGAAGAAGTGGTGACACTTCTATAATGAATAATAGGCATTATTCAACTTTTTGAATGTTTCTACGCAGTTTGCCTTCTGAAGCACACTAAATGTACGAGTTGTCCTCGCTTGCCGAACCCAATGGCAATATTTGCTTGCATAAGTGAAGTCCTTCACTGAGCGAGGATTTACAGTATTGGCACCAGCGCGCAAATGTACAAAGGGCCGGATTCATCCCAACCTAACCGAAGGCATTTTAACCAAGGCGCCTGCACTGGGAACCTCGTCTCCCAGCGTTCCTGCTGGAATCAATGGAGGGAGATGGGGACTGCCAGAGGGCACTGGGGCTCTGAGGTGGGTAGCATTGCCTTCACAGGTCCCCAGCGCTCTCCATTCACCGGAGAAGGAACCATCAACACGCTAGCCCCTAATTTAAGGACCTCAGATGAATGCCCTGTTTGATGAATCAAGCCTTTAATCACCCACAAAATGTCAGACAAAATATTGTATGGGACCTCAATCTTGCAAATACGTTGCTCTATGAGCAGAGAAGCCCCCTAACCCTCATCACGAAGACTCATAGAAGCAAAGGTATTAACGTATGTGTTGGTGGCAGAAAACCCCAAATGAAGCACAGCTAACTTCAGCCTCCTTAAAATTAGAGATCTGCTAGATTGAAGGCATCTAGAAACCAGAGACTACAGAAGGTTTTAAATTAGGTCTCAGCTCTTTGGTGTACTCAGATGGATTTCGGCAGGAGCTTTCAGAACAAAGTTTCCCTAGATGATAGCTCATGGCATCAGCCCTAGCGCTAAGCCAGGAGAGTCCAAGCCAGGTTTAACAAAACCATACACAACAAAATAGAAAATAGAGAAAAAGTTGGTGAATCCCTGCTTTAGAAAACAGCCTGAGGAAGATATTTTGTTTGGCCAGTTTTTGTCTGACTTACAAACTATTTCAGAGGTGGAAAAACAAATGAATGGGTGGAAATGACCTTCTTCTGGATCAACTTAGTGAAACTCTGTTTAACGGACTGTAACTCATTTTGGGGAGGGGGGAGAAAAAGCTGTCAGAAAGTCAAATGACAATTACATCATGAAAAATAAAAAAAAAATACAACGTCCTGCAAGGTCATTAAGACAGAGTGCCCAGGGCTAAATTATGTAGCACAGATTCAATAAAAATGTAGGGCTTTGTTTATGTATTTGTTACTGAAAGAAACTGATGGCAAAGTTTGCTTCTGACCACCGATTTCTAAAGCTGCTGCGGACCCTTCTGAGGCGAGAGCTTTCCAGGGTGAAGCCTTCCAGATTTGCACTTTTCAGGGCTTGTCTGACCTGAGGGTTCATCTTCACTTTAACGGGAAGTGACAGTTCCCAATGAAATCTCAGCGCCGCTTCTCTGCACTCCTTTCTCTGGGCTAACCGACCACAAAGCGCTTCTGCTGAGACATTTCCAATGGCATCTTTAGCTCCAGAATGATAAAATTTAGCGTTGCATCTAGTTAGGTAGAGGAAAGATGCTTTACTTGGGTTGTTGGGGTTTTTTTTTTGCACAGCCATGTATTTATAGGAGTATGTGTGTCTACAGGCTCATGAATATTATTATGGCCAGGGTCAAAACTACCACTTAACGTTACTTTTTGTCAAGCACTTGCCATAAGAAGATTTTTCTCAATTGCTTCTAACTTTACATAACTTTGTTAGGGCTGAAAAGTTCCACACCAGGTACATGCCCTGGGCTCCTTTTATTTACTTATTTTACTATCAACCAGCCCCACTTTTTTTAAGCACTTCAGCTAAGCGAAAATGCACCGCCCTGACCCTCTTGGGCTTTTCTGAAACTGTCCTAAAGGCTGGGCATTTTGGAAAAGGGACTTTGCTTTCTGCAATGGGGGATCCTTAGCTTCTGAGCTTTTTCTTGTGAAAATCTGCCCCACTCGGACAACTTAAAAGCCTGAGTGGGAAAAAAAAATCACTATTCAGCTCACCCCATTTAGTGATGAAGAGGCTGGAGTGATTACCCTTGAGCTGAGCAGGCATGGACCTCCCCATGCTGTGGGGATACATGCTGTCCCTGCCCTGCAGGTGACCGTGGTCCTGCTCAGCGTGGCAGGGCCAGGACCATCCCTGCCACCGCTGCAGCCGGCTGTGCTGGGAGCAACTGGGAGGCTGGGCTTCAGGCTTGAAAGCACAGAGCCTTTTTCTTTTGGACTCTCACATACCCCAGGTGGAAACCAAGTCTGTGTGGAGTAGGAAGCCAAACCAAAGCAGTGGGAAGGAAAGAAATAGATGAAGACAAGGTGCCTGCTGAGACTACGTACATCTGGCTGGGCCAAACAGAGGACCTGGATGGGGAGCTGGGACTCGGAGCCCAAGGTAAAGGCCAGGGGAAGGGGGGGCTGCTGGCAGGGGAGAGAAGATGCAGAACCCAGAAGCCAGTGAAGGAAATGGGAGGGACTGAGAGCCAGTGGCTGGTCGGAGGTACTGGTGCGAGACAGAGGGGCTCATTGAGGAGGCTGTTGGCTGAACTGGGAGACAAGAACAGAGGATGAGAAGAGACAGACCTTGCACAGTGTTGGGTGGGGGGGAAGGAGGTGGGTCGGGAGGCGGGAGTGAGGATGGAGAGAGATAGGGTGTCTTTGCAGGGCTTGGGGAGGGGTCTGGATTGAGGATTGAAAGGGGTCAGGGGCTCGGGGCTGCCTGAGCACCCTGTCCCAGGGCTGGCAGAGAGGCAGGGACAAGACTGAGGACAAAGGAGCAGAGGGAGACAGGACTGGTCCAGACACAGGTCGTGAAGGACACAAGACCTCTTGAAGGAAGCACTCCCCCACTGAAGCCTGGAACGGGACTAAGCACGTGAGAGTAGAGATGTGAGGAGCCCCAGAGAGGGTCAGTGAGAGGCAAAGAGCTCACTGCAGTCCCTGAGTGACCGAGGGCTGCACAGAAGCCACCAGTCCTGGTGATGAAGAGGAGATACATGGTCTCACCTCACTTAACCCCAGGAGCCCTGGCTCTCTCAGTGCTTGGGGGACCCCCCCTTCAGAAAGGAGCCTGCCCTGAGTAAGGAGAGAGGCTCCCCCTTCTTGCTATGGAGGTGGGAAGATTGGGGGCAAATGGCCCCAGGCTGGGCAGGGAGAGTTTGGAGAACACAGCCCTGCAGGGCTGCTTCAGGGGACCGGACCAGGTCCGGTCTCTGCATGGAGGCACTCCATGGGATGCCAGCCAAGCCACCGCATTGGTGGACTCTACTGAAGCGATGGAGGTGGCTATCTGCCACCAAAGACAAGGAGAACTGAACATCCCAAGCCCAAGGACCTGCCCGCCTCCAGCGGCAGCTACACCTACCCAGCCCTGCAAGATGCCCCAGCAGAGCGGCAAAAGACCACGTCCTCGGAGCAGAGCTGCACAGGCAGCTGTCCAAAATTTGGCAGGATGGAGCACCGGTTGACTTGGCCAACTTAACAGCGCTCTTCTACTACGAGGGTCTTTCTGGGGGTGGGATGAACCTATATATTCAGAAAGCCCACCAACACGTTTCTCTATGCCCACTGGCTATCTGGGAGTGCATCAGATCAGTCTGCAGTCAGGCCCTTCCCTGGTTCTCTGCATCACTATGGTGCTCATAGCATTTCTGGGTGCCTATAGCATCCCAGCTGGGGCTAACGTTTCGTTAAAAGAATTTGGGCTACAAAGAATGTTAAATAACTTAGGAAAAAAAAAAAAAAATCTGCATAAAACCGGATATCCTGAGGGGGGGAAACCAATATAAAGCCCAAGTCCAGCTAACGGGGAAAGTAGGTTGTAAAAATTAATGAGAATAATTGTTGTGAATTCTTGCTTTTGAAAGAATCCTCATGAGGGCAGAACCTTAATTATTTCTGTCTATTAGGGTTCATTTCCTGGTCCTAAGCAGAGAGCTAGTACCTAATAAATATGAGCTAGTAGCACAATGATTTAAGCTACAGCAAAATGGTACTTAACTGCAGGGGAAGTTAATATTTGGGAAGCAACCTGATTGCAAGCACCCATTGTGTAAACGGCAAGGAAATGAAATGTGCCTGTGACCTATTTTAACACCTCAATATTTCTGGGGTATTTTTTCAGGGTTGCAGAGAGGGGGGAGGTTTTCAACCGAGCTGCTGAAAACCACACTCAAAACTTTACCAAAGCTTTCTTCATGGCTTAAGCCTCCTTTTGGGGAGGAAGGCTGGGGAGGGGGAGATCCCAGTGTGCTTAAATATCTTTTAAGGCTGTCTAAAATATCAGGGGAAATAAGCACAAGCCCTACACTGGGATTGCAGCTGTGCTATTGAAATAAATTGGCGGATCTGAAATCAGGCAGGTATTTCTATAAGCTGTGTGAGCATAGGCTCAAATACATTTATGGGCGAGTCATACAATTATATTGTAATATAATTCACCTATAACATAGCTCTTGAAACCTAAACTACATACGCATATAAATTTGTGCATAGATGTGTGTGTGTGCATGTGTAAAATACGTGGGTGTATAAAAACTGTGTGTAAAATAGGTTGGTGTATATAAGCTGCGTGGGATTGTGCGGATAGGAAAGTTTGCGTGAAGGCTGCGCTCCAGGTGATGGGTGGAAGTGAGAGAGAGGTGGCTGTAAATGGGAAAAAATAGGTAGCGCACTGACAAACAGCCGTGGGGACGGACAGGCAGACCCTCCGGGGAGCTCAGTGCAGAGAGCCAGAGACCAGTGGGACCGCGATCGTTTATGGCAACGGGAAACACAGTCTGCCTTGCATTGTAAAAATATGTTTTGCTGAGCAACATCTCAGCTGTGAAAGCTGAAGTCGGGTTTCTGCCTGTGGAGAAGACCCCACTTGCCACTCAGCTCAGCTGAAGGCTGTCGCCCCTTCCGCACAGCCAGCATCTGCAGCAGCATCAGCTGCGCGCCGCCTCGGCCCCGGTATGATTCTCCATCTGCACTGGGGCAAGCTGCAAATTTTATTCCCTTCCCTGGAGGGAGATGCCATTTAGGGTAGATCATTCCCTGGTTTATTTTTATGGCTCTATCTTTCTCAGTTGGGTCTTTATCTTGGGGCTACAGCCACTCTTTATTTGTTCCCCCAACGATTTGGTGCAGCAAGAAGAGGAATGCGTGTGTCGGGGGGGAAGAGGGATGTAAGCGTATGTAAAATGTGTAGGGGGTTGTGTAAAATATGTAGTGGTGTCTGTGTGCGGGTGCGGGTGTCTGCTGGGATGCGAGCGCGTGTGTGTCTGTAGGGATTCATGCGTTTGTCAGTGCCTGTGTTTTGACAGAGACGGATACGCAGATGTCATTTCTTATCAGCCAGATGTTGTTGATTTACAATCAAATATTTCTGCTCCTCCTAACATGGCAGTTCTCCCAAACTACTGTACTTACATGTTTCTGCTTTGCTTTTGTTTTATTTGCATGATAATTTTTTTTTTCTATAAAACAGTCCTATTTTTCTTCAAAGGAAAGCAGTTAAATTCAGGTCTGTTTTCTCATAGGGAAATGCCTTTAAAGCGAGCAGTGTGTCCTGTTTTATTAAGTCCCAGTTCTATTAATATTATATTCTTTCTCCGAATCCATCAAGCAGAAGTTAAACTTGATTTTATAGCATCCACAGCGGAGTTATAATTTAAGGCATAATTTGGCCAGGACTCAATTTGGATTCAGTTTGCTTGTCCTGGTTGTGCCAATAGCTCCTATTTTAAAGGGCAGGGAAGTATTTTCTTTTCTCCCTAGTTATGGTGAAACACTCTTTCTTCCCCAGCCTACCTCTGCTCGCCGCGTCTCCCCTGCCAACTGATGGACGGAGGAAACGCAATCATTTCACGCAGGTTTAGGAGCTTCCTACTTACATCTCCGGGAAAGCACCCAGGATTTATCCGCGGTGTTAAATGACCTTTCTCCGTTTGAAAAAAACAAGCGCATGATTTCACTCTGTCAAGCGCAAGGAGCCATCCTACCTGCCAGTAAGTACCAGTAAAAGCTTGTAGTAATCGCTTGCCGGGCGATTTGGGGAGGAATTTGCCTTTTTTCCCAAAGGAAAATTGGCTTTTCATGGGGCTCTGCCCTGCAGAGGGGCTATCGGGGTCTGCAGGCACCAGTGAGGAGCAGTCAGTGAAAGGCATCGCTCAATACATCTGCTGAGAACTGCCCCAGCCCTGAGCCTTCCTCCCCAGCCCTGAGCCTTCCCCCCCCAGCCCTGAGCCTTCCTCCGCCTCCTTCCTCGCTGGCTGGGGAAGCCCAAAAGCCGAGCAGGGGAAGGAGAGGGGGCAGCAGCCCCGCAGCGGGGTCCCCCCGGGTGGGCAGGCAGAGGGGAGCGGCAGTGGGAACCCACGCGTGTCGGCCCAGCAGCACCCCAAGAAAACCTTATTCGATTTTTTTCTTTTTTCCCCCCGCTTTGTTTTGCTTGGGCAGGCAGGGAGCTGATTTCAGGCGCAGAGCCTCCCTTTCCTTCCAGGGCCTCCTCGGTGCCAACCCCTCAGCCCCTCGCCGACCTCCCCGCAGGGCCAACCGAGGAGCAGCCGGGGATCCGGGGAAGGAGCCCTTCCCCAAACAAAGGCCCGGAGCGCGGCCAGGCCGGGTTATCAGCGCCCCGGCCGCGGAGGGGAGCGCTGGGCTCCCTTCTCCAGATTACAAGGCTTTGACCGATGGCGGGGAAAGAAGATAAAGCCAACTTCCTCGGTTGGTCGTCTCCTCTCTGAGCAAACCATTCTGTTGAGCTAATTCCTCCTCGGCTAGCCCTAAGTCTTGTCTTTAGATGCTTTGTCTGTGTCGCCAGGAATAACAGAGGGGATGGGACGGGTGTGTGGTGAGAGGAAAGGAGAAAGAGAAGGGAAAAGAAGAAGGGGGAGAAAAAAGGGTAAAAGAAGAAGGGGGGGAAGAGAAAAAAAGAAGGGGAGGAAAGAAGAAGGGGGAAAGAAGAAGGGAAAGAAGAGGGGGGAAAGAAGAGGGGAAGGGAAAGAAGAGGAGAAGAAAAAGAAGAGGAGAAGGAAAAGAAGAGGGGGGGAAGAAGAAGGGGGAAAGAAGGGGGAAAGAAGAGGGGGAGGGGAAGGAAAAGAAGAGGAAGGGGGGAAGGAAAGAAGAAAGGGGAAAGAAAAGAAGAAGGGGAGAAGAAAAGAACAAGGGAAGAAGAAAAAGAAGGGGGAAGGAAAGAAAAAGGGGGGAAGGAAAGAAAAAGGGAGGAAGGAAAGAAAAAGGGAGGAAGGAAAGAGGAATGGAAAAGAAGAAGGGGGGAAGGAAAGAAGAATGGAAAAGAAGAAAGGGGGAAGGAAGAATGGGGAAAGACAAGAAGAAGGGGGAAAGAGAAGAGGAAGGGGAAAGGGAGCCGAGGCCCTGAGGGGGGGCAGCGGAGGGCAGGAGCGGGGAGGGGAGGCCGGCCCTCACCTTGTGGTTCTGGTAGGAGGTGACGGCGATGAAGGCGGTCTCCGGGAAGACGTGGGTGCAGAAGGCGGTGTTCTTGGAGCCGAAGCCGTTGTTCTCGTCCGCTTTCACGATGTGGAGCCGGGGCTGGTATTTGTGCATGGAGTTCAGGATGATCTGGGCAAGGGGAGAAGGAGAGGACATCCCGTGGGAATGGAGGGGGCACAGCGCGGCGCAACGCCCCCCGCTGCCCGGGAATGGGGAGAGGAGGAAGAGGAGGAGGAGGAGGAGGACAGGGGCTCGCATCCCCTTCCCCAAAATCTTCTCCCTCTTCAGGGCTCCCCCAGAAGGGCTGATTTAGGTGCTGGGGTGGGGGGATATCTCTCTCAAGAAAACTCCTGCACCACCACCCCTCCCGGAGCCCATCAGGGCCGGGTGATGCGGTGAAAGGCGGCTCCTGACCCGCTGTGCCCCCACCCCCGAGGGGGGAGCCGGAGCTGCTCCCCCAACCCGTCCTGCCACCCTGAACCTGCTGCTGGTGGGGGCTCTCCGCCTTTCCAGGCTCTTCATAGCCCCCAAAACCTCCCAGCTCACCACCAGGATGGCCTGGGCATCTCAACCCCCCCCTGCGGAGAGCAAAGGGGCAAGAAGGGGGGCTGGAAGCGGGGGGGCTGGAGGGATTTAGTGCCCCCCCGGCA